AATTTTATCCTTTTTTTTCCCAGTTCCTTGTTATTTTTTATTTTATTACTTTTCTTCCCCCCCCTCTTTTTCATACGTCTGTAATTTTCCTTTGTTTTATCTTCATTTTGAACTTATGTAATGAGTTCTGTGTATTTGCAGCTTATGCGCAATAAATGAAACTTATTGTTTTTCTTAATTCTCTTCGTGCTTTTTTGTATTTATTTATTTTGTATATATATGTCAGTCGTAACCTTTTACAAAAGAAATAACGCAAAATTCTACAAAAACTAATTCACCATTTTATTATTCTTTTCCATCCATCATCCAAAAAACCAAAACAAAAAAAAAATGATCATATCTATAATATCAAGCTTTTAGCTCGCAACATCAGAAAATGCGTGTTATTACATCACGTGACCCTGACACCTTCCCCCCAGAGTCATATTAGATCCAAAGATCGAATATGGCAAATAATTTAAGGGTCACACTTTACACATAAACAAACTATGTTTCACATTCATCCAAATATTCACTGAATCTTAGGTTTAACTTAACACTAGGTATTTACTTTAATCACCTAATAATAATAATAGGAAAAAATGTTCAGAGTCTTATTTTAGTTTATATTTACAGTCTGGACAATGCATCTGCATTACTAAGTTTCGATCCTTTGATGTGACTTGCCTCAATATCATGGCGTTGAATGGCTAACGCCCATCTCTGCAACCTCGGGCTTTGGGGTGTCGCACTCGTCAGAAATACTAGGGGATTATGATCAGTTAATAAAATAATCTTAGCACCANCAACATTTGTTTATAGTCATTAGCAACTGAAATGAAATAAACTATTTAATGCCGTAAAAATCATAATTGCTAATGGCAATGAAAAATGGGAAATAAAGAAATTTTACGCATGTTTTTTGCCCGTTTCTTAATTTTTATTTTTAGTAAATGGATCGAATTAGCAAAATAATTGAATCCATTAATAGGAAAAGGTTTACAAAAACAATGAAACCATATGCTTGGAATTTACTTGTTTTTTCAAGTTTGTTTTGAGAAATTTGTAAAAAATGTATGATAATAATTCGTAATGGAATTTTGATTATATTTCTGCAATATTTTTTCTACACATTAAAACGGCAAGGAGAAATGTAGGATAACTAAAAACCTAATATAATTATTAAAGAATATTTTCGAAATACGTTAAATGCTATTTCTTTGAAGCTATATATATTCTTTGAAGCTATTAAATCAGACTTCAAAGTTACATTAAACATTTAAGCAAGTAGCATTCAAAGAAAAACTTTTCTGCAATAAAAAAACACAAAAATGCTTTAAATATCGATTGAGAAGTGACTTCTATTAATTTAGCAAATTAGTGATAGTTCAACCTATAATTATTTTTTTAAATGGATTATTGTTGGCATTTAATAATTGTAAAAAAATATAATTTATGCTGCATTATTTTATTAATTGATGAAACAAAATGAAAAAATCTGTCTATTGATTATACCTGTTTAGAAATCGTTTTTGTTTTCTTCATCAGAAAGTTCATCCTACACCTGCAGTAATAAAATCCTTAATTTGGTAAATTCCATTTCTTACACAATTTTTTTAAAAATGATATATCAAATTATTAAAGATTGTAAGTTTATTCACATCTTTCAAGAAACTTCATAATTTTGGAATTATGAAAATTACACATGAATCCTAAACTAGCAATGCTGGAATGGTTTACTGATAAGAGAAAATCTCAACACGGATATGAGATTGGCATAAGTAATGCAATTTCGAATTTCATTTTTATTATTTTACTGTTTTTTAATAACTTATATTTTTCCCTGAATTATCGGTTGTGAGTGATTAACTCCGCAGCCTGCCTTGATATTTTTTACTCAACCTAGATGACAAGGCTATTTTTAAATAAAGCATTAGTACGATCTTTTCTTTGTGGATGACCCTTTGATTGTATTTCTTGCGTTTCACCGAGAAAGAAATCATGGTAATTTTTCACTCAGCTCGACGGCAAGACCTATCCTATCACAATAAATATTTTACAACAGCACTGTGGTCGATGTAAGCCGGGAGAAGAACAAAAAAAATATAAGTCTATGGAGGCATTATTGGTGTAATGAGAAATGTCTGGTACAACTACTTTTTTAGGGAAAGAGGTGGATTTCGGAGCAAAAACTTGGTTTATAAATGAGCATTTTAAAAATTAAACAAATATAGCCATAACAACAAAAGAAAATTATAAACAGCATCTCCCTTTATAGAGACGAAGAGGTATATTTTTTTATAAACTTATGTTTGTGAAAATTGCAACACCATGAAGGACTTACGCGAGTGAGCTGAAATTTTCAGGAAATGCAAAATAGAGCATGATATGCAAATGATTAGAATTTCAGACCCGTAGCGCATGCGTATGCCGATCAGCGCCCTCTGAACGGCGGATGGATCCGAATAAATAGACAGCTGTAGCCAAGCGAGTATGGTTAACGGTGTCTATCTGCTAGTGGTAAACGTTAGCTTAGTCGTTACTTATGCCTATTCGACGAAAGAGAGTGAGATTTCAACAACTTACGGAGTTTAAACGGGGGAGAATCATCGGCCTTCGTGAAGCTGGATTATCTTATCGTGCAGTAGCTGCTCGTGTGCAGCGTAACAGCAGCACAGTGATGCGTGTTTGAAAGCAGTGGATGGACGAGTGTCGGATAACTCGGAAATCCGGGAGTGGATCCCGAAATGTCACGTCAGCTCGCGATGATATACACCTGTTCAGCGTTGCGCTAACGGACCGTACGGCTACCTCTAGACAACTCTTCTAGGCAGCACGGTGGTCAATAGCTACAGGTGTTTCATTGTGTGCTTCATCAATTCGTAGACGTCTGCTGCAGCGTGGACTGCGCGCAGGGACTCCTTTATACAGGATCCCCCTCACACTAAACCTTCGCCACTTGCGGCTGCAATGGGCCAACCAGCATAGGGACTGGCTTACTGATTGGCAGCGTGTCGTGTTTTCTGACGAATCTCACTCCAATTTGTGGTACCATGAAGGCCGCATTCGTGACAGACGCTTTGCCGGTGAACGCCATCTTCCGGAGTTCGTTATCGAACGTCACAGTGGACGAACACCCGGAGTTATGGTCTGGGGTGCCATAGCATATAATGGACGATCTCAATTGCTACGAATTGCGGGTAATCTGAACAGCAACCGGTACATCAGTGAAGTTCTACATTCCCAAGCTGTTCCCTTCCTTCAAGCCTTGCCAGGTGTTATATTTCAACAGGACAGTGCACGCCCTCATATTGATAGGACTGTTCAATCCTTCCTTGCATTGCTACAGGTACAACTTCTTCCTTGGCCGGCGTATTCCCCAGATATGTCGCCGATTGAAAATGTGTGGGATTTCGTTTTTCGGCGTCTCGCTCGTAATTCTCGTCCTGTTGCTTCTACAGACGAACTTTGGGTACTCATATAAACAGTAAGGAATTCTCTTCCTCAAACAGACATTCAAAGTTTGCTTGACTCCATGCCACGTCGTGTAGCAGCACCTATTGCGAAGCGTGGTGGTTACACAAAATACTGATTTCGATCTCTTGTTATTGTTTGTTTGCTTTGAAAGTTTAACCATTTATTTGTACCACTATCACTCAACTGAGTATTAAATTTTATTTAATTATGACGATTCCTTCATGGTGTTGAAATTTTCACAAACAGGAGTTTATCATGATTTCACAAAAAGCATAATATAAAAATGGATTATTGATGGTTGGATTGAGCGGAAATTAAAAAAATCTCCCAGTCAAGAATTTTAAATTACTAGTGACAGAATAGTTGCTGACGGACACTTAGCAGCATGGGAAGGGATCCAAAGTTGGTGAGTTATTAGTCTAATGTAGTCATATACAAAGTCAACCTTGCGTCTTCATATTAAATTTTCAATAATCTGGCTGACCTTTAATCACAAAAAAGACCGTGAGTAATTATTGCAATCCTGTAATTTAAAGATTTTTGTGGTTAGAGAAAGTAGCTTACGGAATAAAGAGTTAAAAAATAGATTTTGTTATTCAATTTAATCGCTACAGTATGAGTAATACATCTGCATTGATTTAAGGCAGTTAGCCGTCAGTGATTGTTAAGAAGAAAATAAAATATTTATATTCGCTTTTTGAAAAATATAACAAAAAATTAAATAATTGATTTAATATAATTAAAATAGGATTAAGTATGATTTAGAAACTAAACTTATGAAATAAAAGGAAATTTTAAAGGCTAGGAAATATGTAAAGCCTATAATGGCATTACAGTGTTTATATTCGCTTTTTATGAAATGTGATCAATTAGATAATTGATTTAATTTAATTATAACTGAATTAAGAATGACTAAAAAAATCAAATTTTAAAGCTGGGAAATGTGCATATAATGCTCACACACAGCCATCGCTTGCATTTCTACCTGAATCTCCCTATTGCGAGGTGAGCATTATATTTGATGATGCATCTTTGATGTAATAAGATTCCTTTGAATCATGCTCTTTTAAGGCATAACTTTTTATTGTATTCTATGTTCTGAAAATTTTTAAAGACTGATATAACTCAAACCGTAATATTTCTGTTTAAATTTAACCACAATTCTCGGTTACTGAAGATGAATTAACATAATGTTTCGATCAGATTCATATAAATAATTTCCTGTGACTGAGACTGAAAGCTTTAAATTTCAGGAAAGATTGGGATTTACGAAAATTAATGTTAATTTTTTTTTGTCGTTTAACGCAAAAATAAATAAATTGACACTAAAAGGGCGACAGCAAAGTTGTTTCTCTTATTATATCAAGAGTTTCTGTCGTATTTTAATTCGATTCAAAATTAAAAGTATGTGGAGCAAAAAAAATGTTATAAGGTATCTTTTTCTTGATTCATTAATTTATAGAATTAAATTGTTGAAATATAAGTCTAAGAGTGTGAATTTTCATGAGAATAAGAAAAACATTGTTTTTGTTCCGTATTTTCAGAAATTCAGAAGACGACGAAGGAAGTTCAAGTGGAGAAAAGGCATGTTTCCAAGGCGGTGGAAACACAACAGATAGCCACGAAATGTCAGAGGCTGAATGTGATAGAGATTATCATCAGATCATGAGAAAAGGTAGTTATGTTCATCGAGATAAAGTAATAACTATTTCTTTTAATTTCATGCTTTTAAAAACATTTTTGCTGAAACCTAGGAACTAGAAAAATCAACAACTCAGTTAATTGAAAATTTTAATTAGTTTAAGCATAATTTTCTTAATACTTACATATTGATATGGCTCAGTTAAGTACATTCGGATTTTAATGTATGGAAATCAGATACAAAAATTCAATACTACAACAGTTAGAATTAAAAACACTGTTAACATTGTTAGAATTTACGAACAAACATTACATTTAAATCTTTATATAATTGCTCAGAGTACATGATATTTTATTTCTTTTTAGCTTAAACTTTAAGCATTGTTTGATTCAAACTACACGCGTCTCCATACATTAAGAATGACTCAGAATAACTCGGAAATTGAACTCTAAATTAAAAATTTCCCCTGTAGAATTATCACACACATCTTAAAAAATAATGTTCAAGCTACAAGAAGCAACCAGAGGACATCGATAGGACATCACAATGATTTTTTTTTATAATTACTCCAGTTAGCAAAAATTGTAGTTCTTATGAATGATATCATACGTAAACAATGTTTCTTGTTCTTTATCTTTTATTTTATAAATGGTCTTCATGAATAAGTCATCTTTATTTTGTTTCTAAACCTATATTTCCTGCCGATTGCATTATCCTTAATTTATGGAAAAGCCTTAAAATTTTATACTCTCTTAGCTGTTACATTAAATGATTGCTAAATTATTGTTGTAAAATTTTAAACTTAAACATTTTTGAATAAAATTTTACAGAATCCACATTATTTTAAGTTTTAAAAAAAATGCGTGATGATATTTATTTATCTTTAAATAATATTTAAATATTTACAAAAAAACAAATATACAGATTTGAAAAAAAACTCTTGGAATTTCAATTGAATTGAATTATGCTGATATTGCAATTATTTTTTTTTCATATTATTTTAAGATATATTTTCTTCAGTTCATTAGAAATTATGAAACTCCCGTTAGGTTTATCTTATGAAATTGATTGTAATATATGTAGTGTGTAAGTGTAAAATTATTATTGCATGATTGTTTCATAGAAAATTTAGGGTTAAAAAAATAATCTATTCACTTTAAAGGCATAGAATAATCATGAAACCATTACTTCAAAAAGGAATCATTGTTTAAAAAGTACATAAAAAGGAACGTTTCTTAATCTTTATTCGAGTCATTTCTAAGATTGGACATTTCACTGAATTGCATAAATAGTTATGAGTTACTTCTTACGTAGCAGGTTATCATTTGTGTCAAATAACTGCTCAGCACGACATTTGGATGTCACCATTCCTTGCTGAACTATCTGTAATTGCAATCACTATGTTCAGCCATTAGCTGAGAGTAGGTGGAGATGAAATGTCATTAGATCTGTTTCGAAAAGCGACCGGTGGCAGTGACATCTATATGTTCGATTTTGAGTCACCCCTCTTTCTGTATTATTCGGTATGCTAGAATGGTGCTTGAGTTGTAGACCTCATCTGTTTTAACTGTCATTTTCTGCTCTCCACTTGGGGTCGAGCACAGTACAAACAGAGTATATAGGACATGGAGTGAGGGACTATGTATATGGCGTTGTTTTGTAGTCACGAAGGGAAATTGTATTTCAAGATTTATGCAACAAATAAGAATTAAGATATTACATTTTATAAATTCTGCAGGAATTAATCTATTAAAAGATTTAAGTTGCAAAGCGATTTTTAACCCAAAAATAGCTTTCATACTCATTTTAAGAAATTTTCTTTAATGTAAAAAAAAAAATCATTTTACTCTAAATGCAAATATTTATATAAATATCGAACATTCAGGTCCCGCAGTGGACTGAGCGTTAAGACACAGCTTCCAGCAAATCACTGAAGTCGAAGTCAAGCCTCACTGGCTGCTGTCAGTGTGCGGGTGGGTGACCACGTGTATCAGTCTGCGTAGGGACCGAGGGTGTACGGTATTGGTCCTCGTTAAACTGTTCTACCGTAAAGTGCTTGATTTCGCGTGCAGGTCGTCGGGCTACCGAAGCGGGGGTGCCATCCCCTCTGCAGAGGATCAAAATTATGATGGCATGTCTTCGGATCATCCTCAGGGATGTTTCCCAGACCGTCGCTTATAGCCCATTGTGCAGCACTAGTGCGACATAAATAAACTACAACAACAACGAACATTCAGATTCGTTTTTCGGTTTTAAATTTGCATCCGTGTTAAATCTAAATTAGGCAAATCGGAAATTTCCTGTTGTTAAACTAATCAATCTAATCATTAATAGTTTATATTATGTTAATATTGGCCAGTAATTTTAAAACAGGGTGTACCGTAATTAAAATTTTAAACACATAATTTTAGAACGTTAATGAACAATATAGTTCATACACAGTAGGATCGCAAACTATTATCTAAGCCGAGGAAGAAGCAAAACATGATCAAAATTTATTGCTATTAGGGTGGAGGAATGGAAATTAGTATAACCAGTGTGATTGCCTGGTGAACTTGAAAACTAAAATTCTAATCCAGTCATATAACCAGTTTCTGAGAATCTTATCCAATCAGATTCAGTTTTCCCAGATTAAAAATTTACATTTAACGCATTTACGCTACATTTAAGAAGAAGCTATTTAAATCGGTAGCTAAACGCATTAATCTTGTTACAGTTTTTTGTTTGAACAATTGACATTTATTAGTATTATAAATTACAGTTACAGAAATACGTTTAAATTTTAAAAACTTAACAATCAGCTTCAAACACAATGTGATGTATACATAAATTTTATTTAATATATCAGCCTGTTTTTTTTAAGGAAAAATATTAAATTCCGCCTTTAAACTCACCGAATTTGTTATAACAATATTCGTTTAATTTAAATGTTATTTTTTTAGAAAATTTGATTACTAAGCAAAATTATTTATTTTCACTAATAGATCCGATTAACAAAGTTATAAGAAAAATGTTTGGACATGGGAGGTAGTGAGGAAGAAGCATAAACAAGCACAATTATTTTAAGTACATATATTTTAAGTGAAAAATTTAATTTTTCATAGCTAAAAGCTTTATGCCAACAAAAAATAATTATTGCGGAGCAATCATAGGGGCTGATGAGCGGCAGTGAACAGAGAGATTAGCTACGTAGTAACCAGATATAATAAGCAAAGAATCATGACATAGTAAAGAATCATGCGATACTCTGCTTTAAATGAGGAATGTTAGATAATACTCAACGATTCAAATTTGGCCCATATGTTTATTCGACAGTTAAGTTTAGAAAACAACAATTTTAACGTAGTTCGTCAAACATTTTCCGTTATTTCAAAGCACTTTATTAACACTGAAAAATAAAAATCATCTCAGACATAATAAATAAAATTCATTCTAAAGTTTTTTTTTTTTAGGTGAAGTTAAAATACAACATTTAGAACATGGTATTTCCTTGAGTTTTATAAGCAAACCTTAAAATACCATACTTCTCCAAGTTTGGCTAAATTTAAAAATCCTGAGCTTTAATAAAAAATAATCCACTTCTTGTCAAATAAGAATATATCCAAATATTAAAATAAAATAAATCCAATAGTTAAGAATATCTAATCTTGTCAAAAATATAAAATCCAATTCCATGAAAAAATGGAAAAAATAAATAAAATCCAATTCTTGCTAAACTTTCATAAATAGCATTTCAACATTAAAACATAATAATGTTCCGCTGAACGATATTCTCTCTTTTATCGATTTTAACCTCAATGTGGTAAATTAAATCAGAGAATCATATTATCAAATTCTAGCATGTAACTGAAAATATCATTAAACTTGGCATATGATTAAGATTTAAGCCAATTTACATGAATATAAAGTTCAAATGCTGAATACTTTTAACATTTTAAAACAATCCAAAAGCCTCCAGTGAGGAATTTGAAAGAGAAAAAAATGCTCATGAAAAATCATTTCTCACATTTTTCAAGTCAAAATAAACTAAATTATTTACTTTCTTCTATCCCATATTTTTATGAAAAATGTTATTTCTAACAAATCACCATCATTTTTTTATATGATTTGCTTAGAATACTTATATTTGGTGACAAATATAGCGAAATAATATATTGAAACGATCCCTCAATCGGACTTCCGTGACCAGACGCAGTCATGTGACATGATAGTCAAGAATTGGTAATGACTGCTCTCGAAAAGCTACTTCAGAATAAACTACATCATGGCTTCCTATTATTCAAATTTTACAGATGACCCGCATTCATCAATATATTGGAAGTACTTTTGAAACAACGATTTTGCCAGTAGTTGGTTGCTATTTTCGAGAAGTATTTCTTAGTTAACTTGCTATTTAAATAAATTATCTGCAAGAATATCGTAAGAACTGTTAAATTTTATTAACGTCACAATTTTAAAAAAAATATATGCATGTCCGAGCTAACGGAAATAACTTAATAACTTAATAGATATTTTTAAAAAAAACTTTATATAAAAACTACTTCATTTATTACAAATAAATTTCTGAAGACAACTGTTCTCATGAGTCAATTGCCTGGATTAAATCAATTTCATGGAAAAATATGAAATCAAATCACACTAGTGTAAAGTGCATCAAAAAAGAGACCACTCTGAATAATTTTTGATCTAATGATTGGATCTTCACGTTCTCATTCTGGATGGTTCGAGTAGGTGACCTCAAATATGGTAGTGCAAGCGATATTTTAAGTTACGAAATCAGACACACAAACGTACTTTCTCCTAATAAACATACCTTCTTTTCGATGGAATAGGATTTAAGACCCCCAAAATATAGGGGATAGCCGTAAACAGGAAAATATAATCCCCTTAGTTCGATTAGAAATCCGGTCCAAAATTGATCCAAAGTTTGGACCCCCAAATGTTAATTTTACCTTTCTGCGTCTAATTATTACAATAGGACTTTATATGACGTATTATTATTTGTAGGCATATACCTTTTATAAAATGAATTATAGCAAGAGTATAATAATTTTTTTGACATTCGGATCATATATTTTTTTATACTTGAAGCAAGCAACTTAAATTAAGAAAAATAAACAGCTTTAAAATTGAGCCTTGTTTAAAGCAAATCTTAAGAATTTGAAAATGAAATCTTAATAATAGTATGAATTTTAACTTTTTGTTTAATTATTTAGAGTCCTAAGACAATGCAATTGATATTAAAAATTATGTAAATTGCATTAGCCTATGAATCTACTTATGCTTATTATTTGTTGTTATGTTTTTTATTTTAAAGAAAAATAGTTAGAATCTTTTCATTATTAACAGTTAGTAACACGAGTGTTATTTGTTTAACTACTAGTTTAGAACTCAATAATTAAACTTCTCCATTTAAGTAACTTCAAAAATAAAAAGGTTTTTAATAACACATACATCATTTTAAAGGATATTTATTATTCAAAATTTTGAAAGTAAATCCAGCGAGCCAATAACTTACTTCTTTCATATAATCTTACATAATAATTTTCAAAAGCGCAATTAGCTTTTTTATATGGATGATGAATGTTAGCAATAATTTTTCCTTCTTTCAGGTTCGCAGTCGCCATTTGTCAAGTACAGGATAGGGCCCTTGAATGCTGACTGCGGACTGTGTGCCGATAACGAGTGATGTATGGCTACAATTTGGCGTTTTTTCCTTCTTCTCTAAAGAGTTTCTGCATATTTGATAAGGACACAGAATTTCCAGCTACGCGCCAAGTCAAATAAGCGGTTACAAATATAATTTGATGAGCAGTTGTGTTCTGTTTTGTGCCAAAAATATTTTTATGAAAAAGTTTTTCACGGAAATAAAGGACTTCGCTGTCTCGTTTGCAACAGGGTATTTAGAGAAGACATTGCAAAAGATAATTTGATATGTTTCTGAATAAAAGGAGAAAAACATATCAGTTGAACATACTTATACCTTCAAATTGAAAGAAAGAGGTATGTCTTATTTATGAGTAAAATAACAGCTTAAATTTTACACTGAAAAATCAGTTAAGCATAAACTTATAGCAATAGTACTTCATCCAACTTGTTTTAACCCTGATGTGCTGAATGATCCAAACACTGAATGTTATGATTAGTTGTATAAATTTTATCATGTTTAAGTTTTATCAAACTATATGTTAATAGCTATTATTATGCATAAATAGCTATACAAAGAATATATTATTATATCAATATCAAACATTGCTTATTTCCAAATGTTTGATAAAATTATTAACAATAGAGGATTTAAATGATATTAATAATTATTGGAAATTTTTATATTAAAATTATATTTCTGCTTTTGTGGTAATGCATTAATTTAAAAACATGATCGATAAAATTTTGAATCATATAATGAAATTTCGAATCTTCAAAAGAAACAAAAGTTTGCGCATGTTTATTGTTACATATTTATTAAAATATGAAATTCTATTGAATTCTAATTATTGGCTCTTAAAGCTAAAAACCTTTTGTTACAAACTAATTGAGAAATTATATTGCTTTTTGTTTTAATTTTGTTTCTTTGAAAAATACGTGCATTTTAAACATCAAACATGCAATTTAAAACTCTATTTAGCATTGTGCCATAATATCGATATCATCAGAAATTCAATTTACTTAAATTCAAGTTTATACAATCAATTTAAGAAGGCATGATTTATATAAGGCCTAATATAATAAAGTTCATCGCCACACAGTACACAGAGAAAAAAATATGGTCAAAGTTACTAGAATATATTAAAATTTACAGTGTCTTTAGCTCTATGGAAACACCAAAAAGCACGGTAAATTTTTATCGTAACGCTTTGGTAATGATTTTGGTAAAATTAATAATAAATTATTGATATATAATCTGTGTTGAAATTTGGTAAATGTGGTGAAATATGCTAAATTTATCATGATACACCAGAACCAGGGATGACTTCAAATATGCTAATTAATAAGTGCAGATGATATTTTAAGCTACGAAATCAGACACATCAACGCATTTTCTTTGAATGAACATACAGTTTTTTTGACGGATTCAGATTTCTAACTTCCAAAATATAGGAAGTAGCCGTAATCTGGGAAATATAGTCCTGATAAATTGGTCAGAAGAGCGCTTAAATGTTTGAACTTCATAATGTTAATTTTACACTTTGTGTATTTTGCCATATCTCGAGAACTTTTAATGCGAATTGAAAATTTTTACGCATGCTTCGTTCAACCGAAGATAATTTTATGCAAATAATAGCTTTTAGTTAAAATTTATTATTTTTATTAATTTCTTTGAGAATGATAAAAAAAGCTGAAATGTAAGAATTTTGCATCATTTTAATGAATATAATTTTATATAGCAAAATATAAATTTTGAGCAAAATCAGTCTAATAGCTACAGAGAAATCGAATTTTCAGTACCTGAGTGTTTTGAAATTCAATTTCTAATGAACTATTTGGCCGGTTTTGCTCATATTTTGTATTTTGCTGTATATAATTACATTTTTTAAAGCGATGTCAAAATTTTTATGTCTTACAATTCAAAATATTTTTAACCATACTTAAATAAAATAATAAAAAATAATAAATGCTTAAAGGTTTTTTTTCCACGAAAATTTTGGATAAACAAATGTTAAGGTTGTGCGTAAATCTTTTCAATTCGCTTAAAAAGTTCTCCTAATATAGTGAAATACGCTAAGTGTGAAATTAGCATTAAGGGGTTTACCAACTATTGAAGAGGTCTTCTGTTATCGGGCTATCTCCGAACTCTCAGGACCATACTTCCCAGATTGCGTCTACCCCTTATATTTTGGGGGTTAAAAATTTGAATCCGTTGAAAAAACTTATGTTTAATCAGAGAAAGTACGCTTTTCTTTCTGGTTTCGTAACTTAAAATATGGTCTTAACTAATTAATTATAATATTTTAGGTTATCCGTTTGAACCATTAAGAATGAGTCCTAGAACTCGACGATCATTAGATCAAAAGTTATTCAAGGTAATCCGTTTTTATTTATTATTTTTTTTGGTGCAATCATTAAGAAGCCAATCTTAATTTTGTTCTCACTTTTAAATTTTTTTTAATAGAATTGAGATATGGAACAATTTGTTTTTTAATTCTATAACAAATTTCATTAAGATAAATATTTGAATTAAAAACATAAGACGGGTTTATATTGTAAATATATTTAAACAAGAACAGTATAAGAATACACAAGAGTTTTACATATTTCTTAGAATAATATTATTTATTATTTATTGTTGCGTGACACTTTTTATCAGCAAAAAGGTCCTAATTTAGTGTAAAATCAATTTTTAAGTTTAAAATAAGAGTAAAAATTAAAATAAACAGGAAAAAATGAAGATTAAGTTTTTGAGAAAGTGGAGCTTAAAAATATATGGTTAAATTGTTATGCTTTTGTGCGAGAGAATTAATAGCAAAAAGGTCAAAATGATGACTAACTGAACAGTTCAACAAAATCATTGTCATTGTAAATATCATTTCAAATGAATCATGAGTAATTTATTTGTAAAGACTTTGAAATGGACTTTTTGCGGATCATGTTGCAGATCTTGACAGATTTTCATGTAAAAGACTTTTTACAACAAAAATCATGTCTAATTGTTGTATGGATAATACAAGAATTTTATAATAATAATAAAAAACATAAGAATCTCTTGTCTTTTTTTCTCTTAACACGGTACGCATATTAATGCCTTTATTAAAATTACACATACAAACTTTACACATTATTGCAGTAATACACATATTATTGCAGTTATTAAAATTATACATCCAAACTTTACCAAAGTTTGCGCAAAACAATTTCATTTACTTTCTTTTCTTAATAAGGACAGAAGGAATAAAATCGAAATAAAGCACAGTTACATTTTATAATTAGGTGAACAAATAATTTAAAATATGAATATTAAAATATCTGTTAGAGAACCATATCAGATTTAGATAAGTGAATTGCAGAAACATAAAATTTGTAAACTTGTGCTTATGGAAAAAATGTTTCTAAACAAATGGTAAACCCTACTTTATTGCATTAAATAGCATCATGATAATTTACATTTCAATTCTGAAACAATTTATTTGGAATATTTTTCAAATGTCCTCTTCTATTTATTGAGTGTAAAAGATTTAAAATAGTGATTACAACAACGTTGGTAATTTGTCTACCACTAATATATAATAAAGCGTTCTGCCAATATTAAATGTTCTTTACTATAGTAATAGTAAAAATAGAATAATTTTTTTAATTTTTAGGTTTAAGCAATGCCTTAAAAATTTTTTATAAAAATATTTGCGCCATTTAAAACCGTTATCAACTTATCACCAATTAATAAAAGGTATTTCTTAATAAAAAACATGGTGCAAAAAATCTTTTAATGTTATTATTGTTTGGTACGTTGTAAAAAAATGAATTCTCAAATATCACAAAAATCTCTTCGTTTTCGAAGAAACCATTTCCTGGTATATGCTCTGACCGAAAATTTCATCGAAGTAACGAAATAACTATCACATCTTCGAAAAAACGAATTTTAATCCCCCCCCAATCTCTAAATGCATCTAATAATCAGTTTAACGATGGAACAAAGCAGCAAGGACAGATAGAACTGGGTTATAAATTACATCTACGCCCGAATCGGGATTCGAACCTTGGATCTTCCTTGTAAGAGGCCAACTCCATAACCACCATACAACCTATCGGCTTAATTTGTCACTTCATTTTCAATTGTCTAGTCTTTATTATACCTTCGTGATTCTAGTTAACAATATCCCGCAATGCACTACTATTATATTTCGAGTTGAGAAAAAAAAATCGTCATATATTTGGAAGTTCGCGTTTCGTCACAAATCACGTGTTTTGGGAAGAAATTATTCGTGAAATTAATGAAATACAGCTCACAAGAACTGCTGAATCGTCAAAAGTGAGAGTTTCATTTCTGCGAGTGTGAAGTCGAATGCATCGTTTGACCAATATTGTTCACCTATTTGGACCATTTTATTTTTTTATTTTATGTCCGTAGTTGAACAGCCGACCCAGTTTTGAGTTTCTGACTACTAATTTTCAAATCTATAGCCTTGTAATTTTTAACCAATTCAAAAGGACAAAGAAACTCCTGAATCAGTACTCCCAGAGGTATGATTCGTAATGGGAGCATGGATGACTTTGCGACTCGACAGATTTAACGTGCATCAGTCACCATTTACTACACGAGGAGTCTTCAGCCTGCGGGGATCGAACCCACATGTCTAGATTTCGGTACATTTCTCTAAAGAAATTTCAAAATTGTAAGTTTTTTTCTATAACTTCATAAATTTGCATAGTTTGGAAGAGGGGATAAGATCATCAATAAACATAGTTCCGAATTTGTCAAACCAAGAACGAAATTTTCGACTAATTAAAGCAAATACACCAAAAGATAAATTGTGATTTAAAAAGAAGAAATCAATTACATAAACAAAAACGAATTACAAAGTTTTCTGCATTCTGCTTAGGAAACCAGTTATTTTATTGATATTAAGTTATATTAATTGTAGAGCAGCTATGACTTTACATTCAGCATTTTACTAACCTTAAATGATAATTTTTACAGCATTATTGGGCATTTCGGCTTGTAGTGGATGTTTAATTTAATAAAACAGATGTTTTTTTATAAAGTTTATTTGAGTCCAAATAAAAAATGAAAATAGAGTGCACTACTTTTAAATGCTGAAGTCAATTTATATTTTGCGTGAAATAATTTTATTTTAATTGCATTGAAATATATTTAATTGAAAATTTACCAGAAGTACGGTTTCGGAAAATACCAACCTTTTCGTCCATTATTGTTGTTTGCTGAGAAACGAGTACTATTTTCTGATATTTGAGAAATATATGTCAATAAATCAAGATTAAAATCAACTTAGTAACTATCTTAAACTAATTACATTTCAAGAAGAGAAAAGAAAGAAAAATGTATATAATATTTATAACATTGGTGATTATATGTTGTATACATATGAGTATAGATATATTTTGTGTAAGTAGACATTTTAGGTTTAAATAGTTAGGAAACACATTTGATTAGAAAAATATTTAAGTCAGATCAATGATTTCTACTAACATATTGAAAACATATTATGGTGCAATAAAAGTT